TTTCGTTGACAGCCATAACCCGGAACAAATATTCCTGGTTCTCAGTTAATCCTTGAACTATGCTTGTCGTCTCTTTGCAGAACGAGTGCACAACCACCCAGTGTTCAAAAGACACATCACGACGTTCAACGACGTAATGAGTGATGCGAACTCCCCCGTCGTAAATCGGTGGTTTCCAGTGCAGCGTGCATGTGTGCCTGTCGATATCGGACACCTCCAAAGGCCCCACGGGAGGACCAGGCATTCCTGTGAGGAAAAATCACGAACAGAATTTCAAATTTAATCATTCAATGAACAGTGACAAATTTTCGCGAGATTCGAAAGGTATGTTTTTTTTTTTTCAAAGCAAAAGAGAAAAGAACAGGATTTCATGACAAACATAAACAAGGAAAAAAAAAATATATATACATGCAGCTGATAATTTTACACATGATTAATTAATTAATTTGATAATTTGAAACACATATAAACGTAAATCTTCCCAATGCAAATTGAATTCTTAAAATAAATTCGTTTGAAGCATCAACGCACATCTCTCAGGCACTCTTAAGTAGGAAATTTTACCTGTGATGTACACAATGAATGACGCAGATACATCCCCGGAATCATTGCGCAAACGGACGGTGTAATTGCCAGCGTCTGTCTTGACGATTTCCTTGATGAAGATGAGCATGTATTCATCGAAAACAGTGTACTTGAGCCGAACTGTCTCGCTGACTTCAACATTATCCTTCAGCAAGAACACATCCATCGGCTGATCCCCACTGAACATGACCTTTATTTTGGTATTGTCTCCTTCCGGCAAATATAAATCGTCCGGAAGTCGGTCGATCCTTGGAGGCTCTATAAACATATTGATATAATTTTAGAATTAAAAAAAAAGCGAAATTGTTTCGAGAACTCAGCAATGGACACTCACGTCCAATTTTCAGTTTGCAACTCGTGTGAACACTGCCCATGGCATTGAACGCTTCACAAGTGTATTCCCCTTCATCTCCGTCCAGAAGATCGTGAATCGTGAGACGGAAAGTACCGGATTTCGAGTCCATCGTAATCCGGACCGAAGCTGACACTTCGCGTCCATTTTTCAGCCACCGGGCAGTCGGTTCAGGCTTGCCAACAGCGACGCATTCCAGGGTAACAGATTTATGCAGTCCTCCGCCAGCATTGAACAATGGTTTGACGAATTCTGGCTTCTCTCCACCTTGAACCTTTGATTTTCAATTTTTAACAGAATACGTTAAACTGGTTAGAGTATTCGACCTTTGAAAAAATAAAAAGCCAACGCCAAAGCAATCTATGATTAAATGGAATTTTTTTTAAATATGCAATGCACTTTGTAATGTACCGCGTCTACAATTTCCTTGCAATTACAGAATTAGTTTATCTCACGTGAAAAAATGCGACTATTGCATTTACTTAAATGGTACACCCACATGTTAAGCAAATTTCAAAACTGTTACAAGCTTAGGTGCGCTTCACACTTCGATGTAATTGGGAGTTTCGACAGGAACTTTTTAAAATCAAAATACTGTAAATTAAAAATTAATTGAACTCAGGTTGAACTCATATTCAAATTCAAATTCTGGTGCCATCTCTTATTGTTAAAATATTGTAGTTTTTCAGTTATCAAAAATGGGGTGCTCGTCTTATTCTGAAATAGGATTTCATCAAAATTTTAATGTGAAAAATTGGGGTGTGTGTCTCAATCAAGGGCGCGTAGTACTCGAGTAAATACGGTTTTTCATTAAATAATAAATCATGGTCCTATAATTGAGAATGTGATTCAGCTGTCAAAGGCTCGAGTAAATGCAGAAAATTAACAATCCCAAGTGCACACGTGAAATGGCACTATTAGACCATTTTTTCTGAGCCGGCTTTTCTTTTTTTTTTTAAATATGCAATGCACTTTGTAATGTACCGCGTCTACAATTTCCTTGCAATTACAGAATTAGTTTATCTCACGTGAAAAAATGCGACTATTGCATTTACTTAAATGGTACACCCACATGTTCTATTCGAGAGAAAAAAAGGGTGCGCGAATCATGGGCAAAGAGCAAATTTCAAAACTGTTACAAGCTTAGGTGCGCTTCAGACTTCGATGTAATTGGGAGTTTCAACAGGAACGTTTTAAAATCAAAATACTGTAAATTAAAAATTAATTGAACTCAGGTTGAACTCATATTCAAATTCGAATTCTGGTGTCATCTCTTATTGTTAAAATATTTTAGTTTTTCAGTTATTGAAAATGGGGTGCTCGTCTTATTCTGAAATAGGATTTCATCAAAATTTTAATGTGAAAAATTGGGGTGTGTGTCTCAATCAAGGGCGCGTAGTACTCGAGTAAATACGGTTTTTCATAAAATAATATCTCATGGTCCTATAATTGAGAATGTGATTCAGCTGTCAAAGGCTCGAGTAAATGCAGAAAATTAACAATCCCAAGTGCACACGTGAAATGGCACTATTAGACCATTTTTTCTGAGCCGGCTTTTCTTTTAAAGACCACAAGAGTTTCTTTCAAAATTATATGAAATTCCAAAAACTAGTTTTTTTCGTGTAAAGCAAAGGGCGTACGCGTCATAGATGACCTAAACCAACGAACTTTTTTCCATTTCCAGTGTTCAACACATCACGGTAGTCGTCATGACTCAGAATCGATGTCGCCTAATGTTAGCATGAATTAGATAGATCTCGATCATACGGAAGATTGTGTATGCATCATCCATTAATTAATCCATTCATCCATTAATTAATGAAGAAAACGTACAAATAAAAAACGAGAGCTTGCTCAAAAAAAAAAAAACTAACCTCGCAGACGCGAACGGGTGTCGAACACAAACTGGCCTCGCTCTTGCCAGCAGAATTGACAGCGAAGACGCGGAATTCGTAATCCGCGTTCTCCATCAATCCCACAGCGGAGAACCGACATTCGGTGACGTTGTACTCGTTCGCCCGAGTCCAGCCTGCGGATCCAACCCGTCTTCGTTCCACTATGTAACCCGTGATCTTGCTGCCGCCATCATGGGCCGGTGGGCTCCATTCCAAATCGACGGAAGTCTTGAACACGCCGACAACAACCGGAGTGCTCGGAGGACGCGGAGGTGACACTGCTCCACGGGCCTTGAATTGCGCAGAGGATGGAGACGGCTTCGACAATCCAGCTGCGTTCTTGGCCTAACACGAGGATACAAAAGAATGATATAAAGTTATATTGGTCTCATGAATAATAAATTCGTGAGTCGTTTCTCATCGTCAATCTCTCATCCAGACAAGCAGTTTCACAGGAATCTGAAAATCCATTAATCTTCTTCCTCACTTCAAAATTTCGAACAATAATAAACTGCTTTTTATCCAGGAGATATATTTCATGATCACAAAACCTCTTTTACAACTTCCAAACGGGCATTTTTAAAAACTTCAAGAACTCACGTCACGTACCAGCTTCTACACCACTTATGATCCGTTCCTGCAGGTAGCAGCAATGTAAAAATACAGAAGCCCACGAAAACCCATGATTCTGGAGAATTGAAAAATCATCTCGAAAACAGTGCAATAACCGATATAAAATCTCGATTGAGGACACTGCTGGGTCAAAAACATTCCATCAACAGGCCTAAAGACGCATATTTTTTGAGTGCATCAAACCCAGCATTGAAATTATTGCTTTTCTGGCTCTTTCTCGATCGAGTTGTATAAATAAAATTCCCAGGAAAAACGTCCGTAGAACAAATGAGACTCACCTTGACGCGGAATTCGTACTCGTGCTTCGAGATCAGACTGAACATCGAGAACCGCGTTTCTTTCACCAGATATTCAGTGCACACACGCCAGTCTCCGCCTTCCATGATATCCCTATATTCAAGCCTATAACCTTGAATGCGTGATCCTCCGTCGCTGAGAGGTCGTTCCCAAGAGAGTGTGACCGAACTTTGGTCGGAGTCCGCAATGCGAGGTCGACCCGGAGCATCGGGAACGGTAAACGGATACTTCGCCACAATCGGGAAATCGGATTCCAGCGGAGGTCCGACGCCGTATTGATTTTCCGCGCGGATTCTGAAACTGTATTTCTTGTTGTTTTCCAAACCCATGACGTCATAATGACAGTTCCTTGCGAAACTGCTGATCCGTCCCCACAACTGGAAAACGATGACGAGAGAAAAATACCGATATACTGTACCATCATCATACCCAACCCATCATCCAATTGAATCTGTCAGTAGGTCAATGAATGCGAAAACTTACGCCTGACGAAGGATCCAGGCGCTCAACGACATAGTTCGTAATCGGCGATCCACCATCATCCAAGGGTGATTTCCAAGAAAGTGAACAAGTCTCTGGTGTAATATCACCGATCTCCAATGGACCTTGTGGTGCCGACGGTTTATCTATAAGCACAAGTTTAATTACAGTATTTGAAAAAATTCCGTGACTTGAAACGCAGGAAAATCGGCGACCAGCACAGGCAACGCTGTCTTTCAATTTTTAACCGAATTAATATAAATAAATAAACTTGGCAATAAAATTACTTCATCTGCTTCAGATTAATAACCACACCTCATCACCAGGCCCGCCGGTGGAACATGTATTGTGCACGTATTTTCAGCGCCGATACGTCCTTCTACAAAAACCGGCTTTGCATAGAGCCGTAAAACATCCTACAGTACGGATAGCTCTCAATAAAAAAATCCCATCGTTCACTTCTCCCGGTAGAAATGTTCTGAAATTTTGCCATCTCCATTTTCAAGCGTGATTCACGCACATTATGCCCTACGCAGGCGCTTGCTCAGGTGAGATGAGGCAGACACAAAAGCACAACTTGGGTTTCACACACGCTGGGCAACTTCGATGACCTACTGCGGGCATCCAATAATGGCAAGACCGACCACTAGGTGTCATTGCTGCAGCCTTTGAAGGGTTGGCATAAGTGAACAGCTGGTGTAGAATTACCAAAACCTGCGGTACAAAGCAGGCTCAGCGGCATATACGGCATGTTTTTGCACATACGAGTTGCAGGAGTTGGATTTTTAAGTGTTTTTTGAAGGCTTGCCTTTGTTGGAGGGATTTATTTAGACGTCAACCTCTAATTCTCAGGTGAACGTCGAATCGAAGCTTTGTTCCAATTAAGAACTATGAAAGCTTTCAAAAAACTGCTGTGATCAAGTTTCTGTTCCCCGTCAATATAGATCTTTTTAATTCATAAGATAACCTTTGAATAGGCTTACCTCAAAGGCATTTAAAATATCATTTTAGCAGGACTAGAGGACTTCCTGTAGTAATTTGTGGCAACTTCATGGTTACCAATTGCATCAAATGATAAAAATCGATTTTTATAAGGCTTAATTCTATTCTATTCTATGCACTATTCAATGTTCCAAATGTTCTTATTGGTTTGAAAAGATACACTGATTATGTCCGCATCTGGGGGTCTCACTCATTTTTAAAAATTATTTTTAATTCCGCGTGCCGTTTTCTATAGGTTTTCTGGTAGCGACACCTGTATGACGCATGTAGACTTGCGGTGAGGATACCGCGGGCATTCGCCGCGCCTGGCTGTGCGCTGTATGGTTAAGTTGGGGGGCAGTATCGAAGTGTACCCCGCGGTGACCTCATAAAACCGAATCTGTGGCCGACTGGCCAAACAATGATGGTCAACGGTATGAAATTTGAAAATAAATTTGAAGTCCAAGTGTTATCTAGTCTTAACATTAGCCAAGCTGCATATTTCAGAACTTATTCAATAAATTTTGTACCTGCACATTCATGATGAGATTGCAGGGACATGCGGTGGCTTGCTCGAAATAAACAAGCGCGGAAGTTGCGCATTTCTCGAAGGAACTTCGGGGAACATTTCTCGAAGGAACTTCGAGAAACTCGTTTGGCAAGAGGATTACCGCGAGCGAAACGAACTTACCGACGACTGTCACCCGACAAGATGCCGAATCCGACCCGTGCTTATTTGTCAATGTGATCGTATATTTGCCCGAATCAGTGCGAGTAGCGTGTTTATTGTAAAACACAGCAATGGTGCCGGGTGAAGGAATATCGGAACGAATCCGTTCATCCGCGATTACTTCCGAACCGTCCAACATCCAGCTCAAGTGAGGTTTCGGCGATGCTGTGAATGGAACTGAGATCGTGAACTCCTCGCCGGCGAGTATTGTCATGTCGCGAATGCTCAAATCGCTGGTGATCTTCGGAGCAGCTGAAGTGTGAGAAAACATTCGAAATGCTTGGTTAAACAGAGGAACTGAACCTTCGGACATGAGCTGAATAGAGTGACTCAGAATGACTGCAGCAGTACTTACAAGGAGGGGCTTGGCATCGGATTATGCCAGAGTTTCCGCTGTAAGCTCCAGTACCGGCAGCGTTCACAGCACACACGCGGAACTCGTATTCATGGTCCACGGATAGGTTGATCACCCTAATGAAAGATTTTTCTCGTCATCTCCTCGTCTTAATTGGTGAGTAAATATCCGTTATTTTACCTGTACGTGGTCTCCGAACAGAGAGCGTGATTCGCCCGGGTGAACGGCTCTCCAGTATTCGCGTTGCGTTTCTCAATTATATACCCTTGAATTGGAGAGCCTCCGTCTGTACGAGGTCTATTCCAAGATAGGGTCACCGAATCCTCTGAAGAATCGATGGAGAATGGTATTCCCGGAGGTCCTGGTGGATCTTCAAATAGTATGAAATATGAAAATTAGTTTGAAATGTTGATTGAAATGAATTCAGAACTTTCTGCTTACCGAATGGGTACTTGGCCTTAATCGGCTCAACCGTGAAGCATGGATCGGATGTTCCATATTGGTTCTCCGCCATTACACGGAATTCATACTCCCTGTTCACTATGAGATTCCTGACACGGATGCTTGTTGGGATAGCGTATGTGCTTACCTAAAATAATCAGAATTTCATGCATGAATTGGCTGATGCGCGTTACGTACTGTAGTTGCATATGAATAAGGGTCTCGTGATGTGGCCTGCTTATCTGTTAGCTGTTCTATATTTTGCTTCGGCATATCTCACCTTGGACCATTCCTTGTGGTTTACTTCACGCTTCTCAATCACATAGTTGGAGATACCGCCACCTCCATTGTCAACTGGAGGGTGCCAAACAAGTGTTAGAGACTCTCCTTGGAAGTCCTCTGCTCGTAATCTTTCCGGTGGTCCTGGTCTGTCCAGTACCCTGACGTTAAATGTCACTGTTTCCGCTCCAGCAGCGTTTCTCAGAGTCAGCTTGTACGGACCGGAATCTGCGCGTTTTGCGTTGGTCACCACGATGCTCACGAAATCATCCGTAATCTGTTGAGTTTTCGTTTTAAAAAATCAAGGTTTTTCTCATTTAATTAAATACAGTATAGAAGGATATAATCATATTGCTGATGTGTCTTATTTACGCGAATAGAAAATACATTTTCTGCGATTTCAACTCGCTGCGAATCGGGGTGTTCATTGGATTCAAATGCAAAGTTAAAATCAACTTCACTAGTTTGTCACGCATTGCGATGATGTCTTAATTGAAAGTATCTGGAAAATCTTTTCTAAATGAAGTTTTTTTCAGTGACAGACGTGGTTATAAAAATATTGATTGCAAACTTAATTTGACTTGAAAGCAAGCTAGAAGTCAAATTTTTTGCCTATGAAAATCGGAAAACTTTTTGGCTCCTCATGTGTGTTAGTTTTTTTTATCGAATACTGTAACATGTGCTTAACCATGTTATGCATTTTACATTCTTGAAAAGCTGAAAATGTGTGTGTTTCATTCGTGTGACGATGAGGTAATAGAATTTTCTGTAATTGAGAAAGATTGTCATTTACCGTTTATAATATGTCGTCAATTTTGTTCCTGGCGTCATTGTATTTTACCCGTTGAAACTGCTAAAATTGAAAATTCTCGTTGATTTGAATCATGAAAAATGGGTAAATATATAGGTGGAATCTCGCTCCAACGATCAGAGAGAAAAAATCGTTCTAGAGAACTTTTGAAAGATGTAAGGTGGGTAGAAAATCCCATGGGAAAAAATCGTTACACAGCAGTACTGTACTATACAGAGAAAATTGTTGAAGACAAAATCGTTGCTGATATAGTCTACTGGTGGTAATGGCATACTGAAAGTGAATGTTTCACAGACCTGGCGATGAACTCTATCATCGTGAGTATCCAAAATAACTTCACGCAGGAACCAGTTCGCAGTCGGCGTTGGGAAGGCTGTGTAAGGTATCAGTACAGAGAAATCTTCTCCTGCTCGGACCGTGATATCGCGAACAGCACCCAAGTCAACCTTTGGTTTCTCTGGCTGTTCTTTCACCACGATATCTGTGAGAAAAAAAAACCAGTAGTTATGTTTTGAAGGGCGAAACACATTTTAGTGAAGTCTTGATTATTTGATTAGCTATGCAGATTATTTTGAGTTGACCGCATTGAACAGAATGGCTCGTTAAATTTTAATTCGCGCTCTTCTAAGGTACTTCTTTAATCGTGCCTGAAAATCGGTGTGAAATTTAAATTGAGTTTTTAAGCGACAGAAAACGTTAAAATTTATTGTACTGTATCAGAAGCAAAAGGGCGTTATAATGTACTGGTAAAAATCGATTGCTCGGACTTCCGAGGGTTGTCCCACTTCGGCGCGACCTTGTTTATTGAGTGGCTATAGAGTATGGATGATTGTAAAATAAATTATTATGTTGTAAGGTTCTGGATTTTTTTTCGGAATTAACAATTTTAATTCTCTGCATTGTTATAAATATGGGAAAACTTTCCATTCATGGCCAGATATCTCCACTCAACAAAAACTTACTTCCGGAAGGTCGACTCGGCAAAGATGCTCCGACATCGTTCACAGCCTTGATGCGGAATTGATATTCTTCTCCCTCAGTGAGGTTTGGCACCTGGGGAAAGAAATTTGCTCAAATTTTTAAAGTCATTTGTTTAGAGGTTGAAGATTTTTTTTTTTTTTGCAGTACCTTGAAGAAAACGTCGGGTGTGGGATCCAGATTCACTGGCTCCCAATCGGCGCTGTTCTTGGGTTTCTTTTCTACCAAATAACCGCGGATTCTTGAACCACCATCACTGGTCGGTGCTTTCCATCCCAGCAGTACGTAATCTTTACCGATTCTCTCTGGTCTCGGTGCATCTGGTGCTTCAGGAACGACTGAAATTCGAAAAAAATTTCAATATAGGAAATGCGATTCGTGTGAAGCGATTATTTTTGGAACAAGATAAACTGAAAGACGTGACCCAAGAGACTCCTTGAAGATTGGTTTGCATTCCAGAGCAATTTTTCCTGTTAGGACAGGGAAAAAACTAAGGCATTTGACACGAAACGCTTTAATTTTTTTGGGGTTGAAACAGAGATTAATGACGACAAAATTGAAGAATTACATCTGGTATTTTTTGTGCTGAATGTTTATGAGGGCGGAATCAATTTCGAAGACTTAGAAAAATGTAAACCACTGGCAACACGATTCGATTAGTTGTTGGAGGATCAGGAGAAAGCGGAATTATAAACTCCTGAGAAAATTCTTAGTTAAATTGGAGGGACGCATTTATTCGGACTACCTTTTACGTATGTTTAAATCATTGATGAGGTTTATTGATGGGTCATATTTTCGGAGTAGCACAAGGACAGTAAGAGGAAGGAGGTAACGTATTTACTTTATAATACTACGTGTAGTATATTACTACATGTAAGACCATATATTAATTTTAAAACTAAAATTTGGGGGAAAATCCCCGCTTAAGGCCCGCCAGCACATAGCTTTCCGCTGCACAAAAATTAATTTGATTCAGAAAATAAAACCTGAAGTTTGAATTCAACTGAGCTGCATTTATTTTTGTTTCGCATTTTTACCTGCCAGTGAGCCCAAATATATTTTTTTACTCATAATAATTTCCAAAAATTAATCCTTTAATTTTTACTGTATGTGTTTAAAAAATGACGCGCGCCAGAATGAACAAAATTTGCAGGAAAAGGTATAAAGCACTTTTTAATGATGCAAACCCCACCTTTTGAGCGTAATTTTCGAAGAAAAAAAAAAAGCTGATGTTACTTGGGTAAATACGGGTGTATCACATTCAGAAAAGTTTGATTTCCGGTACTCACACTTCTGAGTTTTAGCGACGATGGGATCCGTTGGTTCTGAAGGTGTACCAGGTCCAGCCTCGTTAACTGCCAAAACGCGGAACTCGTATTTATTTCCTTCAATGAGTCCAGTAACAGAGAATGAAGTGTTCGCAGTCGGATAGCTGTTGGCTTTCGACCAGCTTCCTCCACGTTCGCGTTTCTCCACAAGATAGCCTGAGAAAATATGTCGAAAAAATTTGAATTCACTTCTATTCCTAATTAACAAGCACGTATTCGTGACACGGATTATCTGTGAATCTGCAGTTGGGTTAATTTTGTACAATTCTTGGATTTTTACCTGTAACCGGTCGACCACCGATTTCTGAAGGCGGAGTCCACGTGAGATTGCATGAACTCGGACTGTATGATGTAATCGTGGGTTTCCCTGGTGGACCTGGTGGATCGAACGGACTTTTGGCAATTACTGGCGACGAGTCCAACGGGTCACTGGCTCCATAAATGCTTTCTGCTCTGATCCTGAAGTTGTACTTCTTATTGGCGTCCAGGCCTCGAACTGTGAACGAGGTCGACGGGCAGAACCCGGGCACTGATCTCCAACTATCGGATCCATACTCGCACCTTTCGATCAAATAATCTGGAGAGAAAATAATAATAGGATGACATTATTCATCACATGAACGTATAGACTAAATAATTTTCCAGATAAGTATTTGTATTTTCTGGTTTTTTTTGGCAAACCCTGCCGGGTGCTTTCAGGGGGGTATTTTTCAAATTGTCGATGAAACCAGCGTGTGGAAGATGAAATGAATTGCTTTTTTATTTAAGCTCTTTTCCTATTTCCGAGTCGGCAGTTTTTTAGTCCCTGCATTTTTTTTTCTTTTATGTCTTTAGTTCAACATTTTCTGGACTATATACTGTATGAAATTTTTTCAATCGGGGAAATTATTTCGAGAATTTCTTCCTTTCAGTGTTGGACATTCATTATAGCTTCCTTTGGAGTTCAGCGAGTTCATTCAAACAGCACTGGATAAAGAAACTAAACAGGCTAGCTGACAAAAAATTATCTCTCAATCAAATTCAAGTATATTTTTTAAATCCTTTTAAAGATGAATATTTTCGTTTCTCAGGAATCTAACTTGAACTTCCAAATACAGTAAGTTGAAGGTATGGAAAGATAATGTTCTGATTTAATTTTATCAGAAGATTTATCTATTGTTTCAGTGAGTCGATTTGCATCAAACGAAGCACGTTTTGAAATATTTTTTACATCGTCAACACCCGCGTGGAGTATTATGCGGTTATTGGGAACCATTTATTTCCAGTTCAACGAAAGCTAGTCTTTTTTTTATTTTAGCTATTCGACATCTCACATTCTTGAAATGTATGCCCAAAAAACGAAAAGCCTGGAATTATTCGTGGAATAATCCCCGAAGGACTCACTTGTGATCTCCCCACCGCCATCATCAGTAGGTGGTTTCCAGTTGAGAGTCACTGAATCAATATTGACGCCAGTGAAGGTGACTGGACCCTGAGGTGCTCCTGGTTTGTCAACCACAATAACCGTGAAGTCCGCTTTGGCATCACCGTGTTCATTCTTTGCTTTCAAATCGTAGCTTCCGGAATCATCGCGTTTCGCACTCGGCACAAACAATGACGTGATTCCATTCTTCGTCTCGAGCTGGTTGATGAAGCACATCGTTTGACAAGATAATTCTTTTCAGAAATTTTTTTTTAAATAATACCTGGCATCGTGGGTGTGAGTCGATTCGCTTGCTTCCTTTGTACCAGTCGATGGTTGGTGTCGGGGCGCCACTGAATGGAACCTCAATCTTGAGAGGATCACCAACTTTGATTTTGATCTTTCTTCCAGCCAATCCACTGAGGTCGAACATCGGTTTTTCTGCAATAATCCAATCGGCAATTTTTGCATGACTTTATATTCATTTGTTCTCATCTAAACATCCACGGGTTCGTTCAAAAAGTTCCTTTCCTAATAAATATGCGGCATATTTTACTTCTTAAAATCGTGAAAAATATGAGGTAAATGCATCAATAAATTAGAAACAAAAAATCCTCAACTTAGAAAAACACCGAAAACGTCCTGATTATTTTATGACGATTCCCTTTTGGAACTCAATGACAAATTGAATATTTCATTGCTCTGAGAAAAAAAAAAAGCAAAATCCTATTATGACTGAAAATTGCCGCACCAAAGCAGTGACCTTCGTAAAGCTAGAAATCGTATCATGAGGATTACAATTGGTCATGACACAGTAATTTATTCAATTTTTGTCCAAATTTGAAAAATAATGTTTTGGATCAGAAACAGCACGGAGGATTGAACGAAATACTTTTCTAAACGTTTTTTTTGTTGAAAATTTGGTGATACAGACCCTCGAGGAACTTGAATGAACTGTAAAATTACTGTAGTATCAAGATACAAGTATGATTGCCGATGACATCTGCATGTATACTAAGACAACACTTTTAATGACACACGGATTTTTTAGTGACTTAAAAGAATGCTGTATACATTAGTCTTGAGCCGATTTGTTGTTGTTTGCTTAGGATATTATTTTGACTCGATAATTTGTCTTACGTTTCAACGGACGAGCGTAGAACGGATGCGACGCTTCGCTCGGAGTTCCGGGACCGGCAGCATTAATTGCGCAGACTCGGTATTCGTACTGATGATTTTCCTTGACGTGATCATCCACGAAATCGTTTCCCTTGATGACCGAAGAATGAATTAAAAATCTCAGCAGAATTTCAAAGGATTATTTTCAAATCTTACTCGGACGGTGTCGCGATTGATCTTTTTCCAACGTCCCGACAGGACGTCGCGACGCTCGACGTCGTAGCCTTGAATCGGAGACCCGCCGTTGTTTGAAGGCGGGCTCCACTTGATCCTGATGAAATCTTTGTCAGATTCCACGCAGTCTGGGCGACCAGGCTTTCCAGGAACACCTAATTAAAAACACGGAAATTCGTGCTAAATGGAATCTTGTATTTATCAGGTTTTTCATCTACAGATTCTCAGAGGAAGTTCTTTTTTTTATGCATAACCGCGGCAATGCATCCATCCCTGTAAACTCACCGAAGGCAGAATCATTTTTACGTTGTGATTTTTTTTGGATTTCGAGAGAGGATTGGGATGGGTCAGATAATTTTACTACTGTAGAAGCCCGATACAACGAATCTCGTTATAACGAATAATCGATTACAAGTTTACAACTGTTTTTTTTTTAGGTCCCTCTCGTCCAATAGTCACAATTTTATGTGAGTTCTTTTGTGGAGAATTTTTCGTCACGACGAAGCTATTTTACTGGTCCAAATGGCTTTGTAACGAGACTTTACTGTATTGATGTTCAGGCAGTTCCTGCATGAGAAAATTATGTACCGTATTTCTTTAAAGGTTTGGACTTTAGCGGAGTCCACCTGAATACAATGGAGTCTCGTCATAAGGAATTAATGCTTACAACGAATTTCTTTTTTTTTGTGGTCCCTGTCCACTAGCCACATTTTTTTTATTTCGTTTTATAGAATTTTTGTTTTTAGCGAAAATTTTTAAAAAATCCGAAACGCTTCGTTTTAACGATATTCCACTAGATTTTTTTTTTACTCACGGTACAGTAAAAATAGATTTGCTCGATTCTGAGTCGATGGATTTGTCGCACACGATATATCAACGTACCGTATTGATTCTTTGCGATGACCGGAGAGCTGGTTTCCAGGGGTTCGGATTGACCTATGATATTCACTGCACGAACCCTGAATTCATACTTGGTACCTTCGGCGAGACGAGGAACATTTGCGGAAGTAGTTTTCGAATCCACGTAGTTGACAGCTGGTACCCATCCACCTCCGTGGGTCAAATCCCGTTTTTCGATCAGGTAATTACTGAGGAAAAGAACGCAAGTGAAATCGCAGAATTTTACGAGGCATTTTTAGAAGTTGGAAACATTCTCAGAACTGCGGATACCCCTCTTGGAAGTTAAACTGGGCTTAAAATTGATTATTCTAAGCCGAAAAATTATCTAGTGCTTCTTTTTTTTGAGGTAGGTGCTACCTTACATTAATTGGTCCAGATTGCTTTTGCCTTGTCTCAAGTGCAGTTTACCATTTTGATGAAACTTGAGTTATTGCTGTACAGAAATAACTCACCATTCAACTTCAAATAATAAAAATCCTCTTCCTTTTTATTATAAATTCTCCAGGGAGAAAGATTTATGCGGTGTTACAAAAAATCATTCACAAATATTTACAAATCCGATATTTATTATCCATTGCTCATTTTTGAGGATTTCTATTCGCTTTCTAAGGGTATCGATGTGCATTAGTTTTTGTGAAGGAAAAGCTCATGTCATAGAGGTCCCGATAACTTCGCTGGAAATCATTCATGTGTTGGTAATGCAGTACTGTATGTAAAAAGTAAATTTAGTTCTTCGTGTATATTTCAAGCTTAAATTTAAAATAAAAAAATTAAATAAAGAAATGTAAAAATGAATTTAGTTCTTCGTGTTACAACAGGATGAAAAATTTCTCACCTAATGGGACTTCCGCCGTCGTCTTTCGGTTTCTTCCATGACAACTGAACGCTATTCGCGCAAATGTCATCCACATTCAGTGGTCCTTCCGGTGGCGCAGGTTTGTCTGGAAGGAATGGATTTTTATCAAGCTTTTTATTTATTTTTTTTTTGCGGGAGGAGAGATAAAAGTGATTGCTCGCATTTTCCCCAGCAGTCAAGGTTAAATTGATCATGATGTGTAAGGTACGTTTCCATTTTTCCGTGTGATAATTCTGAATTGAGAAATACCTTGAATCCAGGCCAAGGCGAGGAATAGGAATATGCGTATTACGATTTTCTGACGAATCAGATGAGTTCTCGCAACCTTAGCGCTTAAAAAACTAAAAAAATCTTTTGAGTAATTAATGAGAGTGACCTTAATTATTAATTACTTAATTAGTTGAGAGTCTTTTGAGTAATTAATGAGAGCGACCATGATTTTTGTCCAAGCGTGCGTAAAACGACTCTCGTAGGGACATTTCAAACGTCTGCTTGCTTTCTTCAAGAAAAAAATCTTCCATGCGTCGTTTGAGAGTCTTTTGAGTAATTAATGAGAGCGACCATGATTTTTGTCCAAGCGTGCGTAAAACGACTCTCGTAGGGACATTTCAAACGTCTGCTTGCTTTCTTCAAGAAAAAAATCTTCCATGCGTCGGTCTTACTCTTCATGCCTTATACTAGACCCACAGACATTTGCTTATTTCAGAAAATTATGCATGCTAATGTGTTTAAGGAAGGCCGAATAAAAACGGACGCGAAAAGAACGCCCTGGCTTTTTTTTTTTTTTTTAACGGAAGACTAAACAATTCCCAGCTTATGTAGTAGACTTTTCCTTTGGTTATAAATCCACAATTCATTTGCAGTCTTCTTCGGGCGAAAAAAAATTCCGTACAGTAGCATCACGCCTTTTAAAAATATCCACTCACCCAGAACGCAAACGTTTAGGGATCCGGAATCTTTTCCAGATTCATTTTCGATGGTTAGCAAATATACCCCGGAATCACCACGAATGGCATTCACAGTATGAATGATTGTGTGATGTCCAATTGCGGAAACTGTGGAGCGCTTCGTGTCAGTTTTCAGCGCAGATCCGTCTCTGGTCCATGTTACAGTAGGAGCGGGTTCGCCTTCGAACTGAACTTCGATGTGAAGGGTTTGTCCGGCGCGGATTTTGATGTCATTTAACGGCGTCAAAATTTTCGGGGCCACTGTGAAAGTAAACGTGTGTTTATAATTTGACTATTGAACGATCGACTTGGACCGATGATATTGTTGCGTGAATTTTTTATTTTATTTTATTTGGATATTGCCCGTGCTTCAAATTCGTGCAGAAAATTTTCAAGAAAATATGCAGAGCCGTGAATCACGAAGAGACAAATCCCGAATTAAAAACGGGAATCCTCCTGTGTGTCTAACGTTCGTAAATTAGTTTTCCCCCGAATCGCGGTTAGCTGACCGTTCCTTCCAAAATTGCAGTACCTGTACTCGATTTTTTGCCCTTTTCTTCAACTTGAAGACATTCTCTATTCTATTCTATTTTCCGAATCCTAAGTCATCGCAATTCTTTGCGTTATCCTCGAAAAGTTTACATTTTGGTCTACGAACGAATATACTGAACACTGTGAAAGTTGCATTACTGCGCTTTAGACCTCATATTTTAAGGGATTCCTCTGAGTAGAAGCATCTCAGGGAAAAAAATTACCGACTAAAACACAGAACGCAAAAATAGACTGCTTATTACGGTATTTACTGAAGTATCACGTGTACTTTTTTCAGAATTAGAAGAAAAATAGAAAGGAATGTACAATTCTCAATTTTATAAGTTTATGTGTCACACTTGGTTTTAATGGAAAATTTCGGACTCATTTTAACGAACCTTTATTTGAATATAGAAGCAAATAAAATATAATTGAATTCAGGTTATATTCTTGTCAAAGTTCGAATTCTCGTTTACGTCATCTACAAATCATTGCAACTTCTCAGTCATTTAAAAAGGGGTACGCTTTTCACTCGAGGTAGGTTTTTATCCAAATTTTAAGCTGAGAAAATCCAGGTGCGCGTCTTTGATGAGGGGCCGTGTTACTCAAGTAAATCAGCATCTACAGCAATATTAGTTGCAGCTACTTTTTCTCGCTGAAGTACGAGTAATAATAATTGCCAGTACTTCTGACAACGTTTTACATTTTCTGCGAATTTTTATTCTATGTTTGACGTTTTCTCGATTATCTTTTTTCAAATTCTGATTGATTAAACAAGACATTTGGACTCACGATATCTCGCTTTTGCAGTGACGACATCTGACGGCAAAGAAGGCTCACTGGGGCCGACATTGTTGACTGCAATGATGCGGAATTCGTAGTCTTGTCCTTCAGTGAGACCAGAAACTGTGGCCTGAAACCGTACGTTGAAAAAAAAACAACAACATTAGTTTCCCTAGTTAAATTTACTGCATTTCGTTTTTTTTCAATGCTGAACCCTGCTATCTTTTATTTCTGGCAGATGTCGCTTGAATCAACCCAGCTCAAATGAAATTAACCGATGTTGACTTGACCTTACTTGAAGCAATCTGAATGAGAAGCAAAACGTAACCGGAACTAATTTTGCCGTTTACTTCATCG